CCGATCGGCTCCGCCCTGGAGCTTGTCAAAAAGATGAGGTCGCGCCCACCTAACCCGAACCCAGAAATGCTACCGACAATCGGACCTGGATCTTTTCTTAGCTATCGTTCTTGCAGCTGGTGTCTCAGTGTCGCAAGTTTGAGATTTCGTTGAGGACAGAAACACAGATTCAAAATGCCTTCACTTACACGCCAATTGCGCTCAAGGGTGGTTGTCCGCGCCACAGCCGCTCTCTCTGCGGCACCATCTATCTGCGCGCAACCTCAGCGCTTCCCCCGCGCAAAGGCTACTGGAGCCGTGAGCTGTCGAGCTCTTACTACAACATCAATCCGAAGATCTGCGAAGGCGCCGAGTGTCAAGAGAGGCGGGTCGAAGCTCTATGCTTCCGCGGACAAAGCTGTCGCGGACATCAAGAGCGGATCGACGATTCTCAGTTCTGGCTTCGGACTTTGCGGTGTTGCTGGTGAGTGCGAGCGCAATGAAGCGACTATTGGCCATCACTGACATGAATCGAAGACACTCTGATTGCCGCGCTGAACCGCAGGGGACCCGAGAACCTTCACTCTTTGACAGCAGTCTCGAATAATGCCGGAATTGAGGGAAAGGGTGGCTTGGCTATCCTCACAAAGTCTGGTCAAGTCAACAACCTCATTCTCTCATTTCTTGGAGCCAATAAGGCTCTTGAAAAGGCATACTTGACAGGAAAGATTGGCATCGAGCTGTGTCCCCAGGGCACCCTCGCTGAGAGAATCCGTGCTGGTGGTGCTGGCATTCCCGCGTTCTTCACGCCCACTGGTGCACGTAGGTAGATCGCCGACGCCTGTTTGGTCATATGGCTGACTCTTCTAGACTCGTTGGTCCAGACTGGTGACATCCCCGTTAGACTTGATGCGTCAGGCGCCGTTACGGAACGTGGCAGGACGAGAGAGACAAGGGAATTCAATGGCAAGACGTACCTCATGGAGACTGCTTTGACCGGAGATGTCGCCATTTTGAGGGCATGGAAGGCCGACACGGCTGGAAACTGCGTCTTCAGGTAGGCTTTGTGAATTCAACCAGATAAAACTAGAGCTAACCTAAGCAACCTGCAGATACACCACCAAGGCGTTTGGCCCCATCATGGCAAAGGCCGCGACCGTCACTATCGTCGAAGCAGAGCACATCGTTGAAGCTGGTGAGATCGATGCCAACGACGTCGACCTCCCCGGTATTTTCGTGGACCGAATCGTCCCCGCGACCGCCGAGAAGAACATTGAGATCCTGAAACTGAGAGCCGAGGATGGCGAGGGCGAGAACCTGTCCAAGGCCAAGAACGAGGCCCAGGAACGCCGCAACCGTATCGCCAGGCGAGCGGCCAAGGAGCTGAAGGAGGGTTTCTACGTCAACCTCGGTGTTGGTAAGTTAGCCTGTCCGCCGAACCAGGAATAGTGTCGCTGACAATCGCAGGCATTCCCACTCTTGCTCCCTCTTTCCTACCTGCTGAGCGCAAGGTCTGGATCCAGTCCGAGAACGGTATTCTCGGCATGGGTCCCTACCCCACGAAAGACGAGGTCGACCCGTAAGTGGCGTCATTCTGAATAACAGTGGGCTAAGGCTGACATCATTGAAAGTGATATCGTCAACGCTGGCAAGGAGACCGTCACCCTCGTGCCCGGAGCCTCAACGTTTGATAGCGCCGAGTCTTTCGGCATGATCCGCGGCGGCCACGTGGATGTCTCCATTCTCGGAGCGCTGCAGGTCAGTGCCATTGGTGACTTGGCCAACTACATGATCCCCGGAAAGGTGTTCAAGGGTATGGGCGGCGCCATGGACTTGGTTTCCAACCCGGATAACACCAAGATCGTTGTCGCCACAGAGCATGTTGCCAAGGATGGCTCTTCGAAGATCGTGCAGGACTGCAGCCTGCCTCTGACTGGTGCTCGCGTGGTTAGCACTATTATTACTGATTTGGTGAGTCGTGATTGGAAATATTGTGCTGCAAACAGTTGCTAACGTACCCAAAGTGTGTTTTCGAGGTCGATCGCAAGAACGGAGGATTGACTTTGACTGAGGTTGCACCGGGCGTTGACGTCGAGGAGGTACGCGCGAAGACAGATGCCTCGTTCAAGGTTGCAAAGAACCTAGAGACAATGGAGTGAGCAGTATTTGTATCAAAATGTTAGAGATTATTTGAGATACCAATTAGAAGTAATGCGACATGAAAGTAATAAAATCATTGAATGATTGTGTTGAAGTATGAACCATAATAATACATTAACATCTATGTGCATCCCAAAACATAAAGTCCAAACTGTCATAAGCTCATGCAGGCTTTCAGGGTATCGTCCAAATTGTGGCGTTCCGACAGCTTCGCATACCGATTACGTCGTGATTGATAGGAGACAAGGAAACGCGCTTAGTCGCTACTGGAACTGGAGCTTCCGCTGAGACCGCGCTTGTGGTGCTTGTCCTTCTTGTGCTTCTTCTCCTTCTTATGCTTCTTGCCGGCGTGCTCCAACATGTTGGCACCGACTGCGCCGGCGATAGCACCACCGAGAGTACCGAGCAGGCCGCCTCCGGCCTTGTGCGCAGCCCATCCGGCAGCTCCGCCGCCGACTAGTGTCGCGCCAAGGCCACGCTCGCCATCAGGACCGACAGGCCCATTGGGGTCGTACTGGCCTGGACCGCCCTGCTGTCCATAGCCCTGTTGTCCATAGCCTTGCTGGCCGTGTTGTTGCTGACCATATTGTTGTTGTTGAGGGTAAGGAGAGTGACCGCGGTTGTCATGTCCAGAGGAGTAACCCTGGCTGTGGCCTTGACTCTGGGCGTAAGTGGGCTGTTGGGGGCCGCCGTATCCGTGCTGCTGGGGAGCGTTGTAGCCACCACCCTGCTGGTACGGCGAGTGTGACTGTTGAGGGTAGCCGCCTTGCTGCTGCTGTTGAGGAAGACATCAGCATTTGCCAAATGACGCCGGGATCCAAAACAATTATAATTTGGGTGCTTACTTGAGGAGCGTAGCTTGGCTGCTGGGGATAACCAACCTGTTGGCCATATCCCTGCTGTTGATAGCCCTGGTTGTAACCCTGCTGGCCGTGGCCACTGTTGCCGTAGTAGTCGTTCGAAGACATAGTACTGTGGAAGATGTTTGATGGAATGTTTAGATGATTTGAGGTCGAATGTCGATATGGGTCGAAAGGGCTGAAGAGTCGAATGCTTGATGATAATGATGATGTCTCCCAAGTCAGCAGAGGGGAAACAGCTGAGCTTTAAAAAGCGCCAAACGTAAGGCAGGATTCAACAGGAGCTAGCGTAGAAACGGAGCTCGCGGAGATTGCCAAGGAGGGGCCTGAATGCATGCAGAACGGGAGAATGCTTCTCACCCTCCGCTGAGAGCAGTGCCCCGTTTCCGCTGCCCCTCATCGCTCTCTTCGTCACTTGCAGGTGGCGCAGTGACTGCGCGGGGTGCCTTGCCAGCCATGTCTGGGGACTTTGGTGTGTGCCAGCCACGGTCGCTTAGCTGATTCGATGGGAAACTTAGCAGTCTTAGCCACCCAAATGACGCGACCTGCAAAGCCACTCGCTTTCGGCTTCTCGCGTCCGAGGCGGCAATCCAGGAACTCGCGCCTCAACCGTGTCTCCGCTGGCTGGCATCAGTCTTGTAAACGTTGCTCGGCTCTGAGTCTTTGCAAGGTCTCTTGCTGCAGAAGCCGTTTTCGCTGGACATTGTTCGACGAACGCAGCCACATGTCAGCTACATTGCTGAATGTTTCATGGCGCAACGGCTAGCCAGTGTCCCGGTGATCACCAAACGTTCGGACGAACCACTGACCAGTGGCCTGTCACTGCCATTGGACCGGTCGGTCGCATCAGCAGCCCGAGCCAAGATCAGCGAACGCATGGTAACCGGAGGTCTGGAGGACCCCAGGCACAGGGAACTGTCGCCCAGAGCTGTAGAGCTGAACTGGTGCCAACAGTCGGCCTCTCCGACCATACCGGTTGTGGGGCCGATTGGCCACGCTGTCTCCGGCTGTGTGCCCTTCCTGGGCGGTTGACTGATACGCGGGTCCGCGGAAGTTTGGCAGAGCATTAGTTCATTGGCTGTGAAGCCGTCAGATATCCCGTGATTCCTGGAAGGATCAGCAGGTAAGCTCGTCTCCAGCCGAAGCTAGAACATTTCTGGAAAACCAAGGTCTCACAGCCAAGGCTCAGCTCAAGTCAGTCGTAATGCTGGGCATTCTCCGAATGATTTTTGACGTGCTTACGTAGCTCTGATTTTGAAGGGCTTTACAGAACTTGTCGAACCCAAAGCGGTCTTTGCGGAATATTCCAACTGCCCTTGACTCTCTTTGCGGGGTCGGCCCTATCTCAGTTGATGGCTCCGACGCCACGACCGTTAGCGGCCGCCAATGAATCATAGCGTGTATTTGGCTCCGAACGTCTTTACATGCTATTTTGGGGTGACTGTAATGATGACGGCATAAGGTGGAATTCTCCAGTTGTGTTGCATATAGGTATGCGCTGCATGAAACAGAAAAGGCTCAATTAAATCTCTCCCTGGTTACAGTCTCCATACCTGTCTACCTAGTAAGCATCGATTGAGCAACATTCCAAGAATGGGAAGCAGTATGACACATTCAAACGGCCTTGCAAGCCGAAAATACGTGAACTGGGACGTATGTGGTGTCGATAAGGCCCCGCCGAATGAAGATGAAGACATCGAAATAGTGTTCAAGCTCATCAATGAGCAACAACGGAGGACACGGAACAAGACTCATCACGGTCATGACGCAACTCACGAGAGAAAATAAGGCATTGTCAAGGCCGAGTTTACCATTTCGAATGATCTAGAGTATCTGAGACAGACTGAGTTGTTACGATGTGGGGGCGAGGACCCTGTTGCTTGTCAATACAGCTCAGAGCCGAGAAACTCGGGTCTTGACGAAGCCTTCAGCCTTCAACCAGATACCAGCATCAGCTGAAAAAAATACCAGAGTCGCATTCCACAGCCACGTGTCTTCGAAATGAAGCTCTTCAATGTTGAGGGTGACACTTCGATGCAGGCAAAGAATGCCGTACGCATGACATCGAGTTCAACAGTGCGCCTGCCATTGAGCTTGCCGACGCCAAGACCACCAAGGAGATTTTCCAGTTGCGTCTGAAGCAGGAAAGAGCTGTATAATCATCTCAATACTCGACAGGATGCGGAGCTGCAAATGGCTTGAGACAAGCTTCGAGATTTTCACCTCGAATCAGCGAGGCAGTTTTCGCAAGCTGCTTACCGATTTTGGAACTACGTGATGAAGTGTTCTCCGTGCCGCCGAGTGCCACACAGACAAAATCGTACGAAGAGACGGTCGAGCCAGGATTAAAACGTCTTACAATAGTGGCTGCAGAACTTTTACACCAATCACGAGGCCGAGTGCCTGTTCCGGATTCAACTGCTAGAGGGTCGGGAAGAGCAGGCCGTCGAGTACACAGGACAGGCGTGGGACGAGGAAAAGTACCCATGGCAGCAGAGACGGTCGCCAAGCTTGTCATTCCACGTCAAAATATTTTTTTACTTTGAAAGGAAGCCGTTCTGGGAGGTTTACATGCGGGCTGATCCCTGGCACGGACTGAAGAGCTTGCAGTCGCTAGGGAGTCCGAACAGGCTCATGCGTGTTGGTACGTTTCTTGTCCAAACGTCTCGCTGCGGCTTTGAGTGCTGACATCTGCAGTCTATGCCGCCAGAAGCAAATTGCGCCGTGAGTTGAATGGAGTCAAGAAAGTCAACGTCTCGAACGTCGATGAGATACCAAACTGAGGCGTGAGGGGAGACACCAGATGAACTGCCTCTCAGTTGAGCCCGTCCTGATGTGAGGTCAGGGATTTATCCAAACATCAGAATACAAGTTTCGTGTGGTTTGAAAGCATTGCACACTTACATGTGACATCTACCCCGCATATAGATGATGTTTTGATTGCTCCTCAGAGATGCGCCAGGGCGTGCTGCTCAGATGTCTGAGCTCATGCTGCCAAGAGTGAGCACGACGGCTTCATTTTTCTCGAGGATCCAACGTCGCGCTCCTCAAAGGTCACGCAACACGTTTTGGTCAGAATTCTGCACCGGATGTTCCTTCGATGCTGACTGGAGACTTGCTGCTTTTCCCAAATTCAGACAAGTTCCAGAGACCATTCGCGTTTGACCGAGGACGCAGTTTGAGCCCTCATGCAAGTGAGGACCTTAAAAATCCGGGGTGGCACTATCGCGAACAATGAGTGGTTCATTAGCAGACAGAAATGAAAACTTCCAGTGTGCTGATTGGTTTCAAAGTTGATTCAAGCTCATAGTTCAACTGGAGGTCGTCTGGGAGCTATGCTGGTGATGGGATGAAGATCTGAGCGCGATGCGACACCGACGAAAAAGGTATGGAGCTTGGATCACTTGGCAATGTTTCCTTGTGACCCCGTCCATGCGGGCTGTGAAGGACCGAACCCCGCGATACTGAAGCTCAAATACAGCATTAGGCCCTGGACGAGGTTTCGTTCCGGCTCTTGATGGCAAAACCGGAAAAGTCTTCGGAGATCTATCACTGATCAGGAAGCCTGGAGCTTTCTCAGAAGTCTACGCGTCCCTGAATCTCGAAGCTCTCCTGAAGTTGCGCGCGGGCTCAACAGCAATATGGCCACCACAACTCTCACTGCTAAAGAAGGTCAAGATGCCGCGGTACAACCCAGTCCGTACACAATCGTCCGCAAGACCAGTAAGTCTAGTGTCCGCAAAACGACGAGCAAATACTATACTAACTATCTTGTAGCTCAAGTGGATCGCATGTTCTATGTCTATCATCGCCTAGGAATTCAAGCAAACGTCTTGGTTGCGGCTCGCTACGCCTCAGCGAAGACCGGTCAAAATCTCGACCTGTCAGATGAGACGGTTTTTGCAGCTCTTCATGCCGTCGTTACCAAGTGCCCAGAGCTTGGCCTGGTTGGTGTCAAAGAAATGAACGAAGATGGCAAGCACTTTCTTTCTTTGGCCTCACTTAACACAATCAACCTCGACAGCTGCGTTGAGTTCATCGACCACAACGTTCCACCCCTGGGCTCAGACCTATTCGAGAAGCTCCACAGCGAGTGGCTCTGGGCTGATGGAGAGGTGAGACCTGGTCAGCCATGGTGGAAAGTGCTCATTCTCGGACGCCGAGATGTCGTCTTCCTGTTTCATCATCTCGTCTGCGACGGCTCATTTGGCATGACCTTCCACCGCGAATTTCTCGCGTCACTCAATGCCGCAGCCGCCTCTGGAATGAGACAACAAGCTCCTCGGGAGGTTCACTTGAACCCTGAAAGAATGAGACTGAATGAGAGAGTCAAAAACACCATCCGGAAGAAGCCATCCGCGCTTGGTGTCATCTATAACTTCCTAAGCTTTGCCTTCCTCCGGTACTTCTACTCAAAAGCCCTCTTCTTTACGGACTTTGCCCCGCCCAGGAAGTTCCTAAAAGATTCCCTGGGCAACCCATTGCCGCAAGAACGAACCTCGACACAGGTCTACAACTATCGCATCCCCGCTCAAAAGATGGAATCTATTCTAGCTGCCTGCCGTAGCCACGGGACAACTTTCACGCCTTTGCTTATGGTCTTGATCACTGGCACTTTGGCAGCGGACCACTATCGCAAGGCCAAGGTCGGATTCACACGTTACGCAGTCGACATGCGACCAGTCTGCGACTTTGAGGATTTGGCAGCTGGGCAAGGCAAGATGCTCAACTTGGCTGCCAGTGTGCCAGAGAAGGAGCGTCTTGGGAAATACCGAAAAGTACTCCCCACAATGTTTTCCGGCGATGGCATTCAACAGGCTAGAGCATACCTTGACACAAAGGAAACTTGGAAACTTGTTTGCGACTACGGAAAGCGAATGCAGAAGTTCCGCAAGGGCGGCACCAAGTCTAAGCTTTGCAAGTCTTGGCTGAGCGGAAACACCATGGGCCCGACACTTGAGGAGTTTGTTAACAAGTCTCTGCCTTCGATGAATGTGGTCATGCAGAACAGCTTCTCAGTTTCAAACCTAGGTGCACTCAAAGCCACTACGGTATCGGCTGGTGGAGAGGAGCCGGCGGTGAGGATCGAGGACGTTCAATTCTCTACCGCTTCTCCTCACGGCGCTGTTGGATATCATGGTATAGTCTTCAATGTCGCTGGTATGGCTGGCGGTGATACGGTTATCAATGCGTGCACTGAGGCGGGCATGGCTCCTGATGGCTTGGTCCGCTCTGTTCTTGATGGCGTCATGGCGAGAATTGATACCCTGTTGTTACAACAGAATACCTCGTCTGAAAAGGAGAGAAAGGCTAGAAGTCAGGTGTGATCGTGGGCTATGAGATGCCATAGAGATTTTCATGTTCACCACGACGAGATGGCTAACATCGGTGTCGTGTAATCTCCCAACAAAGTAGTCTAATATTGAGTGTTCCTTGTAACTGGATGATTTAGGCATGACAAAGGCTTCATCAGCGCGATGGCCCATGTTACTCTTGTTCTTTAGTTGTAAATGCAAGAAACCTAAGCTTTCGAACGCCACGGGGCAGAATCACTATTGAAGTTGGCTTGACGTCCCGTTTACATATATACTAAAATGGAATCTGACCGACGCAGTAAACAGGCACAGCCGACAACCACACATTAAAAGAAGCTTCATGGTAGGACCTACTTGTTTCCATGCAGAGGGAATTGCACATAATCAGAAAGCTCAATGACGGCGATGCCGAAGCCGAACTGCCTTTCACGGTCGAGCTTCAATAGCCTCGGAATTTCCGCCTTTTCGATCTTGTTTTCGATGAGTCCGTGTCGGATCATGAAGTCGATCATCACCAGCGCAGAATTCGGTTTCCATCGCCCATGCAGCAAGCTTTCTCTGATTTCGTCGATCCCCATTAGCTTGAAAGTCTGGCCTTCCTTTCCTTTGATTTTCTCGTCATTGACCCTGAGATCGTACGCTTTCCTGATGCCTGGCTCAGGCAGGCCAGCATAGCCTTTTTCCCATCTCTCATCGCGCACGTCGAAGAATTGAATGGTGGGAATATCCGGGCTCTGACGCATTAACTCAGGCCAATGACGTGGATATCCCTTTGATTCTTGTTTCTTCTCCTTCTGGATGCACTCAAGGATCGTTTTGTGGCTCGGTGTAAAACCACCAGCTGCAGCTTGATCGAGTAGTCCGGGGAAGTTTGGTTGCGTGTCAGGGCGCTGAGACACCCACACCTGAAAGCCCTTTGCTTTGGTGATCTTGTAGACGTTGAGATGTGCGCCGGTCGTAAGGATACCGAAGATCGGGACAAGGTCGCACCAAATCCCTTCCCTGAAAAGCTTTCTGAAATTTTCATCTTCCTCGATCAGAGGCCATGATTCCTGATCGTTATATAGCCATTTTGTGTCCTTCTTCACCCACTGAGGTAAGTTGCCGCCTGGAATCTCGTCAAGCTTGTCTACTATTTCCTTCCAGGCATAATTAAGCTGAATTGTTCCCGTTGTTGGGTCGATGGGTGGGTTGATCAACCGGATCTGTTTTGACAACCAGTCGAAGTCGAGCCATCTACTGTTTGCCCTTTCGAGCCACTTGACATTCTCTTCAAGAACAATTCCGAATGCCTTCCAAGGAGAGGTCGGGTTCGTGGGGTCTTTGAGACAAAACTTCCATTCTGTGCCTTTAATCTGGAACCTGTTGACATCCTTGACAAGCTCGACAAGATTCTCATAACGGTAGCTTTTTGTATTCGGCATTGGATCCGTTTCAATGTTCAAGCGTTTTGTAACAGGCTGTCGAGTGAGATTTGCGCTTTGATGAAAGACAGAGTTGAAATGGTAATTTTGGTACGCTGCTGTCTCGTCCTTGGCGATATACAATCGTGTTGCGGAATATTTAAGGCAACTTTAGGATGGTAGATCCGAAGGAGATAAAAGAATGGATGAATGGCGTAGCGTTCAAGAACACATTCTTTGACTCGACACAAGCTCTTTTGAAAGTAGATTCGAGGTCTTACCCTTTTTGGCTCTTGGGTTAACGGACCCTCCGGTCGTGCTGCAACAAAGAAAACGTTCTGCTGCCAGCCAAGCTTACCCAAAAGGCTGTTCGTGGGTACCTCCATACCAAGAGGATAGCTTTAAAACGTCCACAAGTGAACGTCACTGAACAGCCCTGATAACAGGCTGACAGTGAGCGAAAAGTCTGGCGGACTCAATAGCTCAAGGTCTGGGCTGTGATTTGGTAGGGACACGAATCCCGCTGTTTCGAAAAATCTTGAACTCCCATCAGCACAGCTTCCTAGGTTCCTCACTCTGCTCAGGTGAATATGCTCGACTTAGGGAGCCTCCGGCATTTTTCAGGCCCCTCCCTACCAGTCAGCTCCAACCCGCAGCTGGCATGACGTTCACACGAAGTAGGGATGGATTTGCAGCTCTGTAGTGATGACCGGTCAAAGATGAACTTGTTCGCGGATCTGGATGCTTTTTTCAGAATGTCGACTAATTGTACCGTCAACCTAGTTTGAGAACTCATCTGCATCCATCGTTGCTAAAATATCGTAGTGAGACCACCGGTCCCAGGGGGATTTGGAGATCTGATCTTTCAGAATATCGACGTTTTCGTCCACCGATTCAATTGCCGCCTCCCACATTCTTTCCCGAACTTGGACCCTGACTGCTTGGTATGTTTGAACAGCCTTCCATTCTTTCCATTCCTCATTCTCCTTTATAATCTGTGCTATCGCCGCAGAGGCGCCTCGCAGGTCTTCTTCTACAAGATATTGTCGTGCCCACTCTAGTCTGGCGACGTCATGTTGTAAGTTGCGATTTCTGACCTGTGTGTACAAACACACGAAAGCTTCCTTCTCTTCTGAGGTTGGTCTGCGCGCAGACCCAAGTTTCCATTCTGGTTGATGCAAAGTGCCAATGAACAGATCCCAGGGAGTATCGCCGTCAGAATCTTTCATGTCTACTCTGACTTGAGGTAAATACATTTTACCCAGGCTCCGAAGGACTTCAATTTCCCCATATGCAGCAGCGACGTGAAGGACATTTCCCTCTAGTCCCTGTGGAGAATCAGTTTCGGCGCCTGCCTTCAAGAGATATTTCGCAACCTCTGGCTGATTAGTGCGAATGGCCCGAAACAATGGTGTGTCGCCATCACCACTACGCTCGTTGATTCCAGCACCTGCTTTCACAAGCAACTGAATCTTTTCCTTTGTAGCTTGTCTACTAACGTTGGAATCCTCTAGGCAGTGCAATGCCGTATTGCCAGATGCATCTTTAACTGCTGGTGAGGTGCCTGCATCGAGCAGAACCCTGATTATGCCAGCGGGATCTTTCTCAGGCTCGTTTTCTGGACATGCGGCATAGTGCAAGGCCGTTGATCCATCCGATGCTGCAGCTTTTACCGAACAACCGGCCCCAAGCAGACACCTAGCGACATTCATATGCCCCATGTTAATAGCTTCCATAAGAGGGGTTCTCCCGAAAAAGTTCAATTGGTCCACGTTAGAGCCGAGATGAATAAGCTCTCGTACGGCTACGATATTGCCATGACTCGCCCCAACATGTAGTGGCGTCTGGCCTTCGTAGTTCCACTCACTCAATGCCCATGAATATTGTTTAAAGGCCTGTTGGATTGATTCCCGGATTGTCTCTTCGTTGCTGATCAAGGTTGCCGCTTGGTGTAGCGGTGTCTGAACTGCCTGGACAGTGTCTCCGCCAAGCTGTACTACCTTGTGTTGTGCTTGAGATTCTTGAGACGTCATGTGTGGCCTGCCTGTAAGTTGACTTTGCGCGTTGAAAGCACACTTCCTGCTTATTGATAAGTTGATGGATTTTGACCAGGAAAATGACACATTTCGTAATTAATACTTATTGATATGTGACTTTGCAATCTCTCCGTCCCAAAACTGCACCAGAAATTCTAGCACGTCTGGTGTTCCAGCAGTGATAGCCCACTTTGCGAATGTCAGCCACTGTATGCCATCAGCGCTTTGATATCCCATGAAACGCTTACCTCGAGGAGTGTCAATCCTTTAGAGTCACAATCATCGGGATATATGTTGCCTTTTCTTATGATCAAATGCTGCACTTCCGCTCTTGACTGGTCTTGAAAGATGTGCCATATGGTTGCACCATCTGCCAGGATTCTGATTGGACGTAATGAAGCGCTCAGTGCAGATAAACTGCCCATAGAGCTCTGAAGTGAAAAGCTTTGGGGCCAAAGCCAGGTTGGAAACTTGTAGTTGACCGTTATCGAGCCTTTCTGATTCTTCCCACAACTCGATTCGGTGCATTTGGTTGCATTCCGAAACAAGATGCTACTGTCCGATGTCACAGAGAAAGAGCCCAGTATGTTGCCTGCCCAGCCATCATAGCCAAAAGATGACTGCTTAGAGGCATGGCAACGACACAAGCAATTACGTGAGCACTTGTTTTCCATTGACAATTTGGCCTTGAAACCCATGCCGTCCTCAATGGGCCGTGGTTGGACGTCGGAGGTCAACTCTCGCGTAACTGATGTAAGTTGACCTACCCTTTCTGGTAAAGCTTGATCTGAATTTAGAACTAGCTGTGGAAATTTGTATTCGGTAGTGTGAGGTGTGATCAGGGGGAGGTTTCCCACCGTTGGAGCCACACTCCTCGAGCATTCATGGGCACGAGGAATGTGGCCTGTTGACTGAATAGTGAGGCTCTCAACACGAAGTGCCATCCGCCTGGCCATCAGTTACCAGCACTTATGAACATCCTTTCGTGGATGACGCTCTACGCACGTAGTTTCTTCCAGGTTCATGTTCATCAGAACAAGATGCAGGGTGTCTCTAGCATCACGTATCTTATCACGACAGTCCGCAAGATCTTTTTGCAAGAATAAGTATCTTGTCTTCCTCGCTTTGACGTTGCCATCTTCGTCGGTTCGCGTGACACGGCGATGCAAGTTCTGGAGGCCTTCGACAGTTTTCTCGAGCCGTTCTTTCGCTAGTTTGAGATCCAGAGATTCAGCCTGGCGTCCGTGGGAGATATATTGTTGCTTTTCAGCGGCCTTGACTGCAGGTGCAAGACTTTGAATCTATGGAAGTGGAAAATTAGGACGCATGTTCTTATCAAAATCTCCGTGGCACTTTTGGATAGCGACTTTGTCCAACGTGATTTGCAACTAACCTCGAAGTCTAGCGATTGTAGTTCGCTGCCTATCTTCGGGATGTCTCGGAGAACGTTGACGATGTGGCGGCCGGCCACTAATGCTTGGCTGATAGCGATAAAGCTCGATACGGCCCCAACCACCTCCATCGTGTTGGCCAGCCTCTGCGATCCGGAGTGCTATCCGTCAGACTGTGCGTGTAAGGGGATGTATATGGAAGAAAACTTCAATGACTCGACTGGTGGGAGACGTGGATCATAAATGCGCCGCCAACATGTGAGGATGTTGGCGCTTAGATGTGGACTGCTATTGTGCGGAGCCCAATCATAACAGCCCATGTGAGTGGCCAAATGCAAGGCCCGGTGGCTGTACGTGTTGGTGGTGTTGGTGCCTATGAGACGCGCAAAGATCCACGCCGCATGGTAAGGGGCTCGCACCCGATCACTCAGCTTGCAACCCTCCAGGTATATTCATCCGGACTGGAGTATTACCCGCATTTTGACTAGATTTGTCAGCGTTGAGTCTCTCGCTCCCTGTGGCCTGCCTGTAGGCAAAGGAGCCTCGCTTCAAACCCCGTTTCTTTCGACGAATTACGCAGCCTAGCCGTCATGAAGGATCAAAGCACGCAATTTCGACCGTAGCGGTCTTAGAAGAACTGTATTTTTCCGATAGAAAAATACGACGCAGAGTTCCTATTGAAACGAACTGATTGCGCGAGAGTCAAATAAAGAAAGGGGTATAGTGTGACTGATCCTTTCTCGAAACCCACCAGAGCAAAATTCCAATTCCGAAAACGATATACCGTAGTGGAAAGAACGAAAACTCCAAGCTGCAAAAACGAGATTCCAAATTCAAATGCATAGGAAAAAAAGAAACGCAGGTTACAAACGACCCTTGACCCTCCAGTACGCCCCTCCGAGTAGTTACAATCCCAATCCCCTTTCCCGAAAGAACACACCAAATTGTCTCTCGCAACGAGCCACAGAAACCGTAGGCATTTCCATGCAGAAATTAACCGAGAGGATGAAGATTGGAACTAGGCCAAAGAGCAGAAACGCGACCATGTTCGGTGGAGCTTTCCTCGAGCGCTCTGTTGGCTCTTGATGTTCGGGCCAAATGGCTAAGAGGCTTTCAGATGAGTTAGACAGGTTTGCGATAACCGGGGTCGATAGGACTTACACAATTCGAAGACCCCAGAGTAGTCTTTGTTCATTGCCATGTGAAAGCTGGCGGCGTCGTGGTACGCCTCCCAGATATCGATGCATAACTTGATGCATGTCAACTTTCCAAGGTCGATGATCTGGTCAATTTCCATCGTGGGCCGGCCTTCGAGTGTGGCGGTGGTTCGCGAGCCAGGGAGATCAACAGCTTCAGGGTCTCCGCGGCCTCTCCAGTTGTTCTTGAGAGAGTATACGAGCTTATTTCTTGCCCAGTAAGCGACGAGTTCGTTGTTCGCCTTTCGTCCGCGGTAGACCTCAATCGAGTCCCAGCGGCTACTGCATTCGCCCTTCAGTCGACCGAGAGTGCTTCCAGGAAGCTTTCTATAGCTGATGTTAGAGGCGAATGCTATGCCTCGTGAGTCGCAGAGGGGGAAGCACAGATCTTGTCTTCGCCGGTGAGCTTTCGCCTTGATGAACACATCAGCGCCGCGAGAACGCCAGGCAGGTACGGGAGCCATGGATCCATCAGCCTTCCGCTTTCGAGAACTCGGGGTATCCTCGTCGAGAACGCCAATCTTGACGATGCCATCCGTGGCTTTGCTCTCGCCGGGACTGGTGGGCTTGGGGATCGGGGAGTCGGTATCCCAGCCGTCGAAAACCAGTGCCCAGATCTTCTGCCGTGCAGCTTCCTTCTTCTCCTGCGAGTCGAGGGCGCCCATTCGGTTGCATTGATGTAGGCGGGGAAGCCAATCGTCGGGTATGCTCTTCTCCTCTGGCGTGAGGTCGTCATATGTCTTGATCAGCCACCGAGGGCCAGCTTGTTGCGACTCCTCCTCGAAGGTATTCTGAAGTTGTCGAAGCATCTCACAAACGTGCGATAGGTTGAGAGGAGGCATTTTCGGGTTCTCTTGTAGCTTGAGTTAGGTGTCTTCGTAAAATGCGAGCGAGAGGTAGATATCCAGGTAGAAATTGAGGAGAATCGTCGCCAGCGTGTCTTATAGCTGATATAGAGTTAAAGTAGGAGCCGTGTGTTTCCTCAGAGATGAAAGGTGGCGGTGAAAGATATTCGCTGGCTGACTTTGTAAAATTGGGGGTTTTATAGATGGGAGATTGTGGGTTTGGAGAGTTGGGCAGGCGGCGGTTGACGAGGTGAGATTTTCAGAGCTCCCTGGGGAAGGAGGCACGGCGCAATATTTTCAGGGAAGGAGCTCGGGGGGAAAGATTGGCAAGTACAAATTATTCGGGTTATTCACATGGAAGTTATTCCAATCTGGCTTCGAGACCGGAGGGGTCGCGACTCGAATCCTAGCCTCCTTTCCCTCCCTCACTCATCTGAATCATACCTATAGTTGTCATCATCCATGTAAAGATCCTCGCCCATGTCGGATATATCCCCATCAACACTTTGATAGTCTTCGGCTTCATCAACCGCCGATTGTCTCGTTCCCTCACTGTCATTGCCATGATCGTCGTCGTCGTCCATGTATTCGGCGGCGCCCAGGAGGGACGCCATCACAGCAAGTTTGTCGCGTAGATCGAGCAGAATTGGATCAGGGCGCAACTCTGGATCTTCCGCATACACTTTGAACGTGCTTCCATCTTGAAAATGTTGCTGTGTAGCCGTACAGACCAGGTCCACCCCCTCGGGTCCGCTGAAGATGGTGTTCTCGTCGGAGACACTCGATTCCTCCAAGACGCTCGGCTTTTGCGTCAAATCAAAGAGTACGTCCGCAGGGGTCACCGTGAGATCATTCTCCCACCTGTATCGTGCTGGGGCTCTCGTCCTGTTCCTCAGCTCCGAGTCGTGGAGATAATGAAGTGCCAGATTGACTTCGTTCTCGTTGAATGATTTGACTCTTAGCGTGATCTTGCACTGGTCCCACATGGTGCGTACGCCTTCATCGAGAGCGATGAGATTCGCTGGGCTTTCCAGAAAGCCCGAGCGTAGAGCATCCTGATACTCCTGAATCTTCTGTTTTCCGAACAGGAACGCAAGACACTCTATCTTTCGGGCACAAACTCCCGCGTGCTCAATTTTCTTCTGCGGGTAGGCGTGGGCCACCTCGTTGTGTTCTGTACCCAGTGCACGACACTTGTAGTCGTCTCGTTCGTGAGCCTGGAGTCGGTCAGCAACCACATCGCCATTAGATATTACTTTTCTGCTTACAATGTCTCGGCTTGTCGCGCTCCGGGGGCGATTGAGACTGGGAGATTTGGTACTCGACCCTCCCGGGCTGTCTCTTGTGCTGCCTCTTGGGCCGCTGCCACTCGTAGTGCCCCTTTTCTGAACCATGGTTGGGGTAGTTGGGCCCGATGGGTTTCTTGAAAGAGGGCTCTTGGTAGAAGCAATAGAGCCTTTTCCTGTCGTCGGGGAAGCAGGACCGGGGGGATTCTGCGGGGTCTGTGGCTCGTTTTGCAAATCCATAGCTGGAGAGCCTAGGGAAAGTTCCTGAGGCGGATCTGCAGATGCTAGCGACATACGGGAGCTGAGACCAGGAGTGGCAGTACGAAGACTATTGGAGGAGGACGCGACTTGTGGGGTTTGGGGATTGTCATATTTGCGGTTGTTGACTGTGAAAACGGGGTTTGTTAGTCCCTTTCCATGGTCAGTGGTTTCATTGTGCTTACCAATGTCCATCACGTCAGGCAAGTCATCCGAAATGGCGAGAAACAGGTTGCGAATATCGAACCATCTGATTTCATGGCGGCTGATCTTGCGACTGAATTCTTGCAGACTATTGAAGGGAGTGACCCAAAGGGCGGACCATAACGCCTTGGAGAAGTATTTCTTTTCAAGTTTGGAGAACCTGGTGGTAGGTGTGATTGGAATCTGGACCGGATACTCAGCCTCCTGGATCTGCTCCAGGATCCTCCGTCTAGCTGAGATATTGTCGAGAAAGGAAATATGGTTCGCCATCGGTCGCCATCGGGATGCCTTCTCGCTCGATTACCTGCCGGGGCGCTTCGTGGATTGCTTTGATCTCCTGCAGATGCGCTTGATTCATGTTGGGGTCTTGGAATGACGTCAACACAGCGTCCATTGCCTCAAGCTTCTCGCCCTGCAAAAGTTCTGTGGAGTCTGCAAATTGTCGAACGAAGCGTTGGACCAGATCCAGTCTCCTTTCCGACTGATCGCCGGCGGAGAATAGATCCAACAAGGCGTGCAGGACCTGACACTTTTCGTCCTTGAGACCGTCATCTGTTCCGTCCGCCACGAGGTCATGAACGCGCTTGATGATGCTGTTTCTGAAGTCGCGCGACATACCGACGGGCTTGGGTGTGGGTTGTGGCAGGTCCGGGGGTGGAGGGAATCGCTCCATATCGAGTTGCTTCTCTTGAAAGTAAGTCAGTGGCGTCAATCTGATTTTACAGACGACAACGGAGGCTGAGAGAGCAAACCGCACGAACTGGCGGTTGCCGAAAAGAAAAAAATAAAGAGAAAACAGCGCGGTTCTGTGTCGTGTTGAGAAGCGGCAAACGGATCGGTAGAGGGAAGGGGAAGGAGGGAAGGGGCAAAAATCACTTGAAAATTGCCACTGACGGTAAGGGGTTCACCTACCTCACACGTAACCAAGACCACAGGACAAACACCCTAAAAGCGAGAGAACTGATTAGGCTTTTTCGCCAAAAAGGGTTGTGGGAGAAACAGAGAGGTTGTCTGGTGGAAGTGTACGATGTGGTTTGTGCTCACCTTGTCTCCAGCTGGCGGTGGCGGTGCACGGTCCCTGATGCCCAGAGTGGACCCACTTATGATCGGTGGCAGGGCAGTTAGGTAGGCAGGCACTTCCAACGCAAGAGACGAGCAGGCATGACGATGATCTCTAGGATACTTATCTATTAAGAGTAAATAAAAAAGGGGTATGTATCATATCTACTTGAGAGCCAGAGGACATTTAAATACACGAAAAGTGCTCATCATTAGCACCATGAGACACATGACTGCTGAGGCCCATGGCTTCGGGGCCGATCTAGGTGGCCCAGGCCTCCCTCCGGGTTTGCACCCGAGCTCTCCTCTCTAAACAGCTCGCTCATACGTATCCACCCGTAATCCTCCACGTCAAGGTATCTCGACGTTTCTTTTTCATTTTCTTTTTTCGTTCGTTTCCTTCGTGCAAAGAACTTTTGGGTGAGCAAGATGACCACGAGTGGTACCTTACTCGGTCTTCTTCTTGCCAAAGAGGCCGCCCTTCTTGGGCACTCTTGCCAGCCAGTACAGGCCGAGCGCGGCGAAGACGTTGAAGATGATGTAGACCCAGGCAATGCCAAAGTTCCTCCAGCGGTCGGCGTAGTCGCTCTTGACGCCAGCAAGGAAGTAGTTGGTGTCCTTGATGGTGCAGAACTGGCAGTCGGTAGTGGCGTTGGGGTCCTTGAGATAACCACCCATCACTCCCATATATGCTTGCATGTACTGCTCACACGTCTGCGCAGAAGGAGGGTCGAAGTGCAAGTACTCGTTGGCAGCGCAAACCACTTCGGTGTTGGCGACGGCCGTCGACAGCATGCCTGACACGATATACGTAAAAGGCGATACACGATACATGAAGATCCAGAAGCGAGGGATGGAGTCGGGGTTGGCGAGGACACCGCAGAAGATCAGGCAAAGCATGAAGAGCAAGTTGGCGATGTTGCCTCCAGCCTCCGCAGTCTCGAAACCAGCGATGATGAAGTCGGTAAAGGTCGAGGTAAACAACAGGAAGACCAGCAGGTACAGGAACATCAGCGCACCACGCTCCGTAACCTGGTCGGCAGGAATAGCGTTGTTGTAGAGACCGACGGGGTAGTACCAGCAGAAGTACATGATCGCAGCCATCAAGGTGTTCCATGGCAGTTCGACAATGATCTGGCTGAGCATGAAGACCTTCCAGCCGTAGACCTTGGATGGACGCTCGCGCACCTCATACAAGGACCGTTGGATAACAAAGTGAGGCATGGTCTGCTGGACAAGTTGGCCGAAGACGGTGAGCAGGTTGAAAATGGCGAACATCTGGTTCTGAAGACCTTGCTGTGTGTTGGGAGCCTTGAAAAAGACGAAACCGATAAAAGCAGCAACCAGGGTGCACAGAGCAGCCTTGGCATAGATGTAAGACGGGGTTCTCCAGTACTGTTGGAAGACACGGTGGGTAACCTCCCTGAGCTGGCCGAAGAAGGGAGCGGCAAACTCGCGATAGCTGGCCTTGTCCTGGGTAGCAGGGGTCTGAACACCGCGCTCATCCTTAAGACGCTGCAATTCCTTCTTGACATCGCCGTATTCGGCGCTGTTGCGCCAAGCCTGGTGCCAGTCGACATCGGTGTGGGAGCCAGGGGCAGCACCAATAACCTCCAACATCCATTCGGCAGGGTTGGCGTCAGCAGGGCAGGGGAAACCACCGTTGCGCTCGAAGTACGAGGTCATGACCTTGGAGTTCTCGCCAATGTCGCCGAAGTAGACAGTCTTGCCGCCCTTGGCCAGGAAGAGGAGACGATCGAAGCGCTGGAAGAGCATGGCAGAAGGCTGGTGAATGGTGCAAAGAATAGCCTGACCGCTCTTGGTAAGCTTCTCTAAAAGATCGAGAATGGCCCAGGAAGTCTGCGAGTCCAGACCAGAGGTAGGCTCATCGACAAAGAGCAGCAGAGGAGGCTTAGCGACAAGCTCGACACCAATGGTCAAACGCTTACGCTGTTCGACGTTTAGACCTTCACCAGGAACACCGACAACAGCATCAGCGTATTCATCCATATCCAACAGCTTAATAACCTCCTCGACGTAGTCAAGCTTCTCTTGTCTAGGAACGTGGGCGGGTTGACGGAGGAGGGCGGAGAAATTGAGGGCTTCGCGGACGGTAGTCGTTTGCAAGTGCAGATCCTGTTGCTGAACGTAACCGGTCTTGCGCTGGAAGGATGTGTCACGGTGATAGCCGTCGACCAACATCTCACCAGTGATGACACCCATGGAGGTGCGGTCGGCCAAACAATCCAGAAGCGTAGTCTTACCAGCACCAGACACACCCATAAGAGCAGTCAGGGTACCAGGCTTGACCCAACCGTCGACATGGTCCAAGATGCGTCTCGTCTCCTTCTTGATTTGAACCTCGTAGCAGACATCGTTCCAGTGGAAGGTGGACTTTTGCTCCTCGATGAGACCATCGTTCTTCTCGGAGACGCGGGCGCGGTCGGCGGTGGTGACGGGACCCACGCGGATGTCTTCGGGGTCGTCTGAATGCTTCTCCTTGAAGGCGGCGGGCTTGTGTCCACGACGGAAAACAAGGACCTCGCCCTTTGACTTTTTCTCAGAAACCAACTCCGCAGTGACCATGTAGGTCATCAGGAAGAACAGCATGAAAGCGATCAAAATGCCAAAGTTGCGCCAGCGGTGGCCGTACTCGTACCGGAATCCGGAGCCAACGTAGTCGTCGCCATTGACAACATCAAGTCCAGCGACCGACCCGATGGCGCTGCAGACACGCTCAGTCGGCGAAAGATTCGTGTAGCTGGAGCCGAGGACTTCAGGAATCGCTCGAGGGACGAAGCTAGACCCGGAGCAGGTAAAGTTGCGGCCGTGGAACTCGTTCACAATGAGCGACTCGAAAGAGTAGGCGAGAGGGTCGAGGTAGTTGAGCCAGCGGCACCAATCCAGCATGTAATCGATGGGGATGACGAAACCAGTGAATATGACGAGGTCCAAGATGAGAATGGCGGCGGGAACCATGGCCTGGGAGAGCGTGCGGGACGAAGAAGCGATCGTACGGAAGATCATGGACATGGTCAAGACCGTGAAGAATGAGATCAGGAGGAAGAAAAAGAAGGCTCCAGGTTCGCGCCGCAAGTTCGTCATGAAGTAGAGTACCAGATTGAACACTAGCGTATTCGAGATCTTATAGGGCATGTCGCACAGCATGGATGCAACAGCCTCGGCCGAGGGGTGGTACAGAGCATAACGGGAGTGCTTTTCGACGATGGGACGTTGGGCGTACAGGGTGAGAATCTGAGATGGTCAGAATTGAAGGTAGAATGGAGACCAGAGGGGAACCTACCTCGAGGGCACTGGAGAAGGCATTCATGAGCAGGGCGAAGAACAGGAGGGCACCACGTTGGAAGAAGCTGTTAGTATCAGGTTGCAGGTTGTAGAAAACACTTCCAATAATGAGACCCATGACAACGTTTCCGATGAGAGAGCCGACGGTGATACTGGGGTCACCGATCAGACGTCTCCATCCACGCCACAAGCAGAGCTGGATCTGCTGAACGTAGGAGAGGGTGAAGGGAGACTTGGCACGCTGACCCTTTGCTTGCTGGGCCTTCTTGGAGGCACGGAAAGCCTCAGCATCGGGACCGTTGAGCGGGTGAGTCTGCTTGTACTCCTCAATCTCAGCCTGGAGGGCCTTGTAGTTGGCACTGTTCTTCCAGCAAGTGGCAAACTCATCGGGCGTGCGGGGGGCGCGGTCTTCCCAGCCCTTGCGAACGTGACGCTCCTGGGGAGAAGTCATGGACGTCAAGAAGTCGGGAGTAGTGGCACGGGCAGGGCAGTCGTAGCCAAGGTCGATGAAATACTGCCTCGCCTCGTTGGCCTTGCCGTAGAAGATTTGGCGTCCCTCGTACAACACGACGACCTTGTCGAACAAGTCGTAGGCGCTCTGAGGGGCCTGGTAGATGGACACACAGGCAGTGCTGTCAAAGAGCTCGGTTTGCAGGCGAAGGGTCTTGCAGAATTCGATGGCGTTGGCGGAATCCAGTCCACGGGTACTGTTATCCCAGCATTGAAGGGGTGCACCAGAGAGAGCGGCCTCAGCAATGGTTACACGCTTGCGCTCACCACCGGACACACCACGAATGTACTCGTTACCGACGCGGGTGTTGACAGTGTGAGAAATACCGAACATGGCCATGACGACATCCCTCAAGTGGTTGGCGAAGGTGTTCTTGTCAATTCCCTCGGGCAGGTGACGGGGCTGACGAGCGCGGGCGGCGAAGGTCAGAGTATCACCAACAGACAGCTGGGGGAAGTGGACGTCGACCTCAGCCGTGTAGATGGCCTCACCACGGTGGTTCGTGTGCATCTCCTTGGCGGTCATTCCTGCAAACTGTCAGCGCCGTCCGGCTTACACGGTTGTTACACGAGGTGGCTTTCCGTGTCTTGCAGGTGAGATCTCACACCGCCAGCCACATCGAGCCCCTGTTCCTCCCGTTTCGAGGATTCAGCCACTTACCCTGGTAGTTGAAGTAGGAGCTGTCGTCGGTGTAGAGTCCATTTGTTTCACCGGCAATCGTCTTCAGGAACGTCGAGCAACCAGAGCCAGGCGGGCCCAAAACGACCAACATCTCACCCTTGCGCACGAGACCGTCG